CCCCCCCCCCCCCAAAAAAAAACACCTGCTAGTTCTAAAAAGCCTGGTTTTGGGATTGAGGCAGCATTTATTATTTTTGTTCTTGGCACAGGTATTTAAACATTAACTTGCCTGAGAAACTGTCTAGATTTGTTCTCTCTCAAATGGTCTGAGCAGCATGAAACTATAATTATTTTTAAGGACATATCTGCACATGGAGTTCTTTATAAGAGAAACTACTAACTAACTCCTTGTGAACTTTTTCATTCTCGAGTAAAAGTTCCCTGTTCCTGTTTCCTAACATAATTCAAGCCCTTAATATTGAAATAGAATTCATTTATTACATCAAAGTTGTTTTCATTTTCATTGGTTGTATTGTCTGATTGGTGTCCTACAGCAGTGTTTTTCCCCCTTTGCAAAGAAGTGCACACATCCCAGGAGTCTTGAGGGGGTGCCCTGGGGAATCATGTCAGCTCTGTAATGCTTCTTCACCTTATGCATGTTGAGTTCATTTTTATTTTCAAGGGGCTAGTATTTACTTTCACTTTGTACAACACTCCCTTTGTAGCACTTACAGAAGTCACAGCTTGGTTCTTACACTACCTACCAGGTGAGGAAGCAGTTTTTTCATTTCTTCTTTTTCATGTTTACCTAGCGGATTTAGCAGAAAATTCACTTTTAAACAAGCTGATAAGGAAGTCTCTGGTAGAATCCAGTCATCGGGTTGAAGTCCTGCAACGAGACCCAAGCTCCCCTCTCTTCTCAGTAAAAACGTTTGAAGAACTGCATCTGTGAGTACTTAGGCAGATCAGAACAAAAGCATTCTTAGACTGGTGGTGACTACTTATTCTGGGGTGTGGTGGCAGAGTAGGTAATATGCTACAGCACCAGAGAGACCAGTCTGAGCCCTGGTCTGGACTTGTGCTTTAGGCTTCTCCCTATTGACCCAGGTCTTCGTGGGTGGGTTCACAGTCACTTGGGCTGGGGAATCAAAGGTTGCTAAGGAGTGGTGGCCAGCTGCTTCATTCTGTGTGCTATTGACTGAAGACACTGACATGCCTTGACTATATTTTGGTTTTTGGAGTTCCAAGGGCCTTTGACCTTTCCTTTTTTATTATTATTTTTGTTCATTCTCCTTGAAATCGGGAATGAATCTTGAAAACCTGGGCAAAAACCTTGATACTGCAAAGATCAGAAAGATATGCAAAGACTATTCCAGTCTGTTGTTTTATATTTATATCTGATTTTTTACCTTCCGTTACCAGACTCCACTCGTGGTTGTTACCCAGTATATTACAGCAATAATTTTAAAATATAGTAGTGATATAAGCACCTTAGAAAAGACTGTGGATTTTTCTTTTTTTCTTGACAAGCTGGAAAATAAAACATCCTACAAGCATGTTTGGAAACTGTTTAAACCTTGGTAAATATATATACTAAAATACACAGTTTGTTTGTATAGTTAATGTGTCTTATCATACAGACCATATGCAGTACTCTTGGATCACAGATATTTCACAAACATACTGAGACATAGTTATTTTTCTGGATGCAGGGTTTCCAAGGAAACCCCAGTGTGCAATAGGAAGTAGTGGTGGTAACTTTTCCTCTGCTTCTGTTCAACTAGAGTTTCAGCTTAATGCAGCTGACACAGCAGTTGAGCTGCCGTCCTCATAACATTAAAAACTGAAATGATAAGAACATGCTGTGCAAGGTACCTTTTTTATAATAATCTGGGTAGTACATGTGACAGCTGTGGGATTTCCAGACAATTGTATACAATTGAAAGAGGAGCTGGGCAATGATGTGTTTCGTGGTAGGGAACAAAGAACACTTTTAAAAAGATTGCGTGTAGCCGTGTGTCTGCTCAGCAGAATGGCATATATAGCAGGTGGAGCAGTATCTGAAGTAAGACATTTAAGCATCTGAAAAGCAAAATATTTTTAAATAGAGGTGCACCAACACATTGGTCCTATATTGGATCGGCACCAATATAAGAAAAATTGACCACATTGACAATTGGCTTTTTTTTGGCTGATGTGGCTGATAATGTGGTTGATAAATGCCCTGTGCATGCAGATGGCCAGGAGCACAGCCTGGCAGAGTGAAGAGCAACCGGGTCTGGCTGGTATGTCTGTGGTAGGGAAGGGGCGTTGGGGAGGGGGGTAGATCGAGGCCCCAGTGGTGAGGGAGGGAGTGGGGCGGGGGCAGGTGCTGCACAGCCAGGGTGGAGAGCAGGACGGAGCTGTGAGTGGCTCATCCAGGAGATGGGGCGGGGGGGGGCCGCTCCGGGGGTGTGTGCAGCATCAGGAGGGCCTGGGGGGCATGTGCCTTTGGATCTGCATGGGGGCGAGGGCGGGCTGCCTCTGGGCTGAGGCTGGGTCAGCGCTGGGCTCTTCCAGCTGGGCTGCAGCCACCCCAACCCCCTTCCCACCCTGAGTGTAGCCCGGTCCAGCCCTCCCTGACCAGGAAGAGCCCAGCCCTGCCCCAGCCTGAGCCCACGGCAAAAGCCTGCCTTCACCCCACATGCAAATCCAGGGGAACACGCCCCCCCATGCCTTCCCAGGGTGCATGCAGCAG